AATATTTTTAAACGAGTACTTTAAACTGAGTATTTCATTTATTCCCAAGAGCCGTCTATTTATTTACCKCGTCATAAACTTGAACTCAATACTTGTACGATCTAACAATCTCAGATTATGTGTTCTCTATACCCTGAAATAAATATCTAAATATTCCTATTGCTATAGTATATAATATAATGTACACTTTGGTGGGCAGGGATTAACAATGTCGTTTCTTCAAAATATAGTTGTTGGTGTTTATAAATCTGTATTATTTGGTACCTTTAATTTTTTAATCATATAATTTTTAATATTGCGAACCAATTGTTTAAAAAATTAACTTACAAATTGTTATACCTAATATACATCTTAACGTATAAACAAATTCAAGTTGGTACTTATCAAAGTTATGCAACCTTTCATCAATGTTTATAAGACACAATATATTATATGTGTGTATACATAATATATATATGTGCATATAAATACAATTATTTTTAGAACAACATACGTAAGCGTATTTTAGTTTTAGTGGATGTATTCCAAAAATCAAAAGTTGATTATCAACTATACTATATCTAACTGGATATGAGTATTTAGAATTAAAAATATTCGATTTTCTGTTGAGAAATAAAAAACCCCTTTTGTTGATGCAGTTCTTTTAATTCTTTGATGGGTATTTTTAATTATTTTTATCATTTTTATCATAATTATAATAAGTTTATTATGCCAATAAAAATAAAAATTTATTACGCTTCAAAAAACGCAATCTTTTAAAAGATTCGGTTTAAATACAGTAATATAATCTTAGTTTAAACATTCTGCTATACGCCATTAGATAACCGTCAGCATTGTTGTAGAAGATACCTTGTTTAGTCTACCTTTACTCAGTCACTTACTTTGTAGAACGATTAACGATGTTATTTATTGCGGCCATATTCACCACTATCCACTGTTGTTTCGGTATGTAGTTTTCATTCATCTAACAAATTGTTTATCTAAATAACTTTTTTTATTGTAGGTATATAACATATATTTTGATATGTATGTGTATAAAGTTAATTATATTAAAATAATAGTATTTCATTTATATTTAATTAATTGATAATCTGTATGTTCGGTATTGAAATAAATAATATAAATTCAATAATTTTTTACAATTTTTTCCCTTAATTATTATYATTTTTTCTTGTATTATAAATGAATATTTGTTTACAACTTCTGGAAAAATATTCTAAACTGCTGTTATTTATCTTTAAAAAAATTATTTTAACCTAAAATGTTGAATATTATTGTACTATACAATAGTATTTCGATTCTTCTTCACGTTTTTCTGAGTATTCAGGTATGGTGGCATACAAATTCTGGTTTTCTCTTTCCCTTTTTATGTATATATTTATATAATATAATGTTCTTTTTACCTTGTGGCTGGCTGATTGTTGTTGCCCGCTGTGCTGCAGATGCATTCATGGTCTTTTCTTTTCACTACCCGGGTTTTAGGGTTGGGTCCACGAATTCTCCCTATGTTAAGTTCTTTTTTTTGCTTCTATCGTCTTTTTGGGAGGTCGACATCATTGTCGTACTCACACGAATGCTGAGTTAATCGGATTAGGTATACTGTGCGTGTCGAATATTATATATTATATATATTCAATATGTGACTTATTGTATACATTAAAAACACGTAGGGATGCGTCAAATTCTTTGACCTAAAAATAATAATATACAGCATATTAAGATTAGGGTTGTGTTGAAAAGAAAAAAATGACTTCAGTTTAAATCGACTATATCGTTGTTGCTCACTTGCAGGCTCATTTGTTTATAGAAATTAAATCACACCAGTATTCTGTCTGTCTTCGGCGTGTACACAATATATATTGTGTATATAAACATATTACTATCGAGTTTTAAATACAGTCGCGTGCGTATATTATAATTTATAACCCCACGRTATTTTTTCCAAATCATTTATGTACAATATATTATATCGTATACRTTGGTCTCAGAGTCGAGTTTACCACTTTAACCTTAACCTACATTTTTACGTAGTCGGTGCAGTGCAGCGATGGTATAACTTATTTGTGTTATAGAGGTACTCTTCTTGTTTTMAAAACTGATTATTAGGATCTCCTTAAACTTATAGAATATGTAAGAATTCTATCACTGTAAAATTAAGTGTATTAATATAATAATATCGTGCGATTTTGTACTTGGTTGTATTTATACTTCGCCTCGTGTTAAACGTGAACCATCACACCAGTGTCCCGTAAAGCCGAATCGTCGGCTGCAGCAACAAAACACACACACACACACGCATACACACACACACACATATATATATATATATACATATACATTAAATCATATGATAATTAAAGCGAGGCCACTACACTCATAGTTTGGTCGCCGCCGTTGCTACTCACTCGCTTATTTAGTACTTTTTTACGTGCTGCTACACTCACGCGCGCACACACTCACTCACGTGTGTATGAGTGCGAGTGAAAATAGTTGTATGCGTTCACACCATAGTAGTTGTAGAAGTAGTAGTAGTAGTAGTAGTAGTAGTAGTAGTAGCAGTTGTTGTTGCAGTTGTAGTTCTAGGCAGTAATGGTCTGATCGATGGTAGAGGCTGTTAATATGTAGGTATTCAGAAAACAGGACGTCAGATTTAGTATAAAGTATAATATTTAATAATATAATAATATATTATGTTATCTAAAAAATAAATTTATTTTTTACTATTTTTACTATTTCTATTGATCGACGATGGTTCGTTTAAAAATCACGATGGCATGTTTGTTCGAATTATAATGGGGCGTTCACCGTTATCGTTGTTGCAGACAAAGCAGATACTATGAAAATATTAAAACTATATTATTTCCAAATGGGCGTTAATGTATTAATTATCTCTTAATTGTGTACAGTGCGTAGGAAAAATAATTATTTTAACAAATTTGCTTAATAATAATGAATTACAATATACCTATTGTAGATAGGTATAAGATAATTACATTATTTAAAATGTGACAAAATAACATTCCTTTATAAATCGACTAAGTGATGTTGGTGAACTCGGCTTGCTACAATAAAACTTAAAATATAGTGTACTATAAATATTTTTTTATAGATATTCAAAATGTTAAATACCTAGATATTATACATACCTATATATTATGATATTCCATTATTAGGTATTAATTTCTATTTATGRTTAATTGCATATGTAATGAACAATGCTGATATTAATACATTTATTTCTTATTTTTAACCTGTTCATATTATAATCATTTTTTAAAAGCCATTAATGTAGTCTAATATGTTTATATTAAATATCCATTAGTACCTGTGTTTATTGTCCATTTAGTAAAAAATAATGAAATAGATTGTGGATATTTTGTTCTGTACAACTCATTAATACGATTTTTAGAACTATAAAGTTTATCGCTAGATAACAAAATCTCAATCCATATATCCATATAATGAGTGTTCTTCGATAAAAAAATCACCCTCTATACATACCTACATCATTATTTTTCAAAAAGTAATTACCGAGTTCAAATAAATGTTCTGTTGTACTTTGATAACTATTTAGTCCAAATAATATTTTTATTTTTTTGATAAAAATTCTGAGGTAGTAAAATTAAAGTTTTTTCTAAAAGTTTGTAATTATTATAATTTATAATGTTTCTMTTATTTCAGCTTTATGATTGAGTTTAATAAAGTACAGCGTACAAATCACTAAGTATAACACTTGTATAGGTTTAAAACGATTAGTGTTTGTGATATAATTTTTATAAAAAAAACTAAAAAGTGCATTTGTGTAAAATGTGGTTTTAGTTGTACTTGTACATTAGAAACTGGTTATTATATTATTAAAAAAATCAATTCAACCCGTGTTTAGCAGCTTTTCAATAACTATATTCTCAGTTATGAATTCGAGCCAAAGAGCGATAAAAAAAAATCATACATATCAACTAAATTATATTCGCATACGATGACAATTGTAAATACACGTATAAATACTATATGTATAATATAATACCAATATCGATAATCGTTATATTATATATTGTTTATTATTTTTATTTTAGTATTAGCGATCATTGTTTATTGTCTATCCATATTTAGTATGCTGTTAATCCTTTTTTTTTTAATAAACATATTAGGGTGGCTATAGACGTTATGAATTTTTATTTACTTCCTTAGTGTTTATAGAGTGTTGTAAAATGTACTGTGTGTGATATCTACTTTTATATTATAATGTATAATATAATATTTTAATTTTTATTTAAATTGTGCATGCCATTATAATTTAATTAATTTAAATGTTCTTAAATTATACTACTTAAATAATTTTACTCTTATTCATATTTAAATTGAGTTWATGATGAAAAAAAATTATCTTTTTATTATATTGACTGTTATGTTTGCACATATTTCTTTTGTGTATTTTAGTTTCCATCGTTTTTGCCAATAATACTATGGGTTTTTTTTATTACTTTACGTCGTTAATTCTGTAGTTGTCGTATATCTTAGAATTTTTTTAAGCTGTAGTAATATAATAAGATCCTGGGGATAAAAAAAACCAAAAGTACATTGTGTGTACCGTATCAGAGAAAAAATCCATTAGGCCACCTTAACATATTTCTTCATAACGTCCCACGGTCGTTGCGGGACAACAACAGTCGKTATTGAGTGTAATATAATATAATGTATTTATTTTACAATGTATTAAAATGTATTTAAAGGTTGGTGATGTAATATAACGTTATAAGAATGATAATAATAATAATAAATATAGTTAAATTCCTTGTTATGTATTTTTTGTTTATATTTCTGAAGATTTTCAGTTCTTTTTAAATTCAATTWGTCTGTGTACTGTAGTTTTTTGTGTAATATACTTTGACGCTTACAGGCGTAGGGCATTACAACAATGAATTATTGTTTAAAAAAAAGTAATTATACGCAGCTTCAAGCGATTAAAATTAAGTTATTTTTGTGTAAAAATAAATTTTATATACCTAGCGTTATTAGAATATTATTTGTAATTCATTGGCGTTATCGAAGAAACTAATAATTATACAAAAAGAGGTAAATAACTCCAAATAAAGTGTCGTAAATGTATTTTGTGTTCATGTCTTTCAAATTTACAACGACATTACAATATAATTTAAATATTCACACGTTCATCTTATGTGTTAAACAACTTATGACTTTGTTTAATTGAGGGTTGAGGATTTGTAATATTTATAAATATATTTCAAAAAAGCTTCCAGATATATTACTAGTTTGCAGAAATTAATTATAATTTAGGAAGTAATGAATATTATATTTTAAATATAATCAAAAATCTCTACTATAATGCGAGGACTTGAGGTATCTGGTCATTTCATAAATAAAGAAACTRATGTATATATTTTAAACAATGTACATATTTAGGTTATGCATTATAATATAACAATTCATTAAATTTTTGGACGTTTTAGTATTAAATCAATGTGAATAAATTTGTTTCATATATACTTTAAACAATTATATTTTTATTGTATATAGGTATATGTTGAAAAATATCACATTAAATTATTATTCTTAAATTGATCTGTTGAAATAGCTGCATGTTACTTGCGTTAATAAAATAAATGACGTTTCACAGTTTCATTGCTTTTGTGGTAGCCACGGCTGCATCTAAATGTAAACGGCTCGTAACCGCGGCAGTCACATGCTGCTCTTTCTACCCCTATAGTGTTATTATTTTTATTGTTATTGCTACTTAAACACCCCAGTTTTATACTTACATATATATATATATATATATACTTATTTCATTATTACTATTTTTATTATTATACGATTTATAGATCCATTTCATTAGCCTAATCATGCAACAGTATATTATATTATGTAATATAAACCTACCTACATAAATATATATAGTATAATATAAATACCGTAATTGTTTTAAATATATTATTATGTTAATTAATTACTCAAGATCATCCGGATTGAAATATGTTAAAGAATTCTAAATACTCGCTTTTTACTATAATATAAAACAATAAAAAATTTGACAAACATAATAAAATTAAATAAAAAACGAAGATTACGCATGTAAGCACTAAGCTGTCTATACGTACATCGGCGTGCGTATTCATACACGTCCATATTTTATATATTTTGAAGATGTATATATATATATATATATGTATATGTATATTTATAGACAGACGCGAAAAATATGCGCGCGCGCCCCAACAACGGCCGCGGCCACGACGGGTTTAATTGCATCGTAAAACCACTGCCACCACGTCCCGCGCTCACCCGCCGACCAACCGATCGACTGGAAGGCTGACTACAAAATCGTATCCGCGCAGTTACATTGTTGTTGCTTATTGCTACGGCTAAATCGAAAAATGCAAGAAAAAAAAATCATGAAATAAATTTGAAAAACGACTTACGGTCGAGCCTTATATTACCTGCTGTTCTTTTTAACAACCAATCCATAAAATAACCAATGTGTGACAGCGGCGGCACCGTTAACAATATATTATATTCGAATACCACCTACTCATAGAAAAATTACTACAAAAACGAATCATAATAATGTACGAATATTACATTTTTTTAATATATGAAAATTAATAACAATTTATGGTATTGTGTTTTAGATACGTCAAGAGAAACCGTTCTATATGGCTGATGCTGAAGTCGACTCATTGGTAAGGATATAATATTATTTTTACAAAACAAATTTGTACTTCGTTTTTAAAATGTAAAATACCTAGACACTTAGCATAGTTATGAAAGGCCCTACACAATACATTTTATTGTATTAATAATTTGTCAATAAATATCAAAGTGTTTTTTTAAAAGTATATTTTAAAATATTGAATACGCATTCAATATAATCAATATTCGGTTKCAATAAAGCAGTCGCAATAAAGTATTATATCGATACAATAATTAATCGTGTTTTGTGGCCCTTAAGATTTTTTAAGAAATTTAATATTGAATGGAGATCAATACATATATAAGTGTGATTGCTGGAAATATTAGTATATATATAATATACTTAAACTGATTGGCTATTGCTACTATATTATGTTTGTCTCTGTCATATCGTTTGTACGGTCAAGTGAACGATATATCAGAGTTAGTAAAATACTTGTATATATACAACAAATACAGCTCGTTAATGTTTGTCATCTCTGTCTGCTTACTGCAATTCAAGTAAGAGAGAAAACGCGTGTCGCGTTCTCCACTATAATATTATATACAGACGTAATACTTATTACTATTATTTAATTCCATAAAAACCCCCTAGTGATCAATTTGGTGATGAAAAAATAAAGATCAATTGCAATGAGGCGTAACTATAAACTCGAAGGAAATTGAGTATTACCTGCACTGTCGACGTTGCCGTCAATGATTATAATATTATATAGCGCATGACATTGAGGTGAGATAGAAGACGTCATTATGGATGGTGTTAGCTATCCTATATGATGCTGCTAAAAATTAGGAAATTGTTGCAGCGYACACGATGTGTGTCTAAAAACAGCACCAAAACAGAAACCTAACTGACCAGAAACTATAACAATTACTTAAGGTGCCAATATATATATATATAGAGAGAGAGAGTGGTACATCTATATAGTGCATACTACAGGCCAGAGAACTGTTGGACCGTGATTATTGTGACATCGTGATCCGTGAAAATACTACTTAAACAGGATGTTGCGGTAGTATCGTTTACTCGTATCTCTACAGTTACATAAAATTGAACGGACAACGGCCATATTTCTCATACGCCACGAAATTAAAAAAAAAATAACTACGGCCAAAGACAACATAACAAATAATGCAATATTAATATAATATATAAATATTTCTCCCGTGTAAACTTATATTATATATTATATATATAATTATAATTATTATTGAATATATATATATATATATATATATATCTTATACACATATATTATGTTTCTCTGCGGGGGACAACAACTTATATAAAAGCAGCACACAACATATGCGCCATCATCATCATCGCTATAGCACAACGCAGAAGAGTGGAAAATGGAATCCTGTTGACCTTATGTGTTGTTGGCCTCTCTGAGTTAGTGTGTGTGTCGCACGCTCGTGTGTGTGTGTGTTTTTTCTTCCACATTTTTACACATTCCAACACCATACGTCGTCCACGCTGTTGTCGTCGTCGTCGTCGTCATCGCCGCCGTCGACGACGAGGGTACGTATATTGTAACAGCTATAGTCGACAGACCGACCTGTAGTAGAGGGTGTGTCGAATTCGTGGAAGGTGTTCGCCGACTCTCTTTCCAAGAAGTGAAAAAAAAATGAAATGAAATGATGTTATGTATATCCCTCCGATGCACAAAGCTTATAATATAAAATCACACACAACACACACACGCTACGGTTAGTAGGTAGTTGTATAGTGTATAGTTGTTGGCTACGGTTCGTTATTATAAATGTACCATCATCATTTTGTTGGCATTCGATCAATTAAACGTATTATTAATAGAGTTTTTAATTTTAGACCAACAGCGTCGTGTTGTATTTAATATACTTACTATATATTATAATACTCATATATAATATCGTATAAGTACGTTATTATAGTTTTTTCCGTCAATTCTTTTTCCATTGCATTATTATGATTGTTCGCCGCCATTTTCACGTTTTTAATACACTGTATAATATTAATAAATATAAAAATAAAATAAAATATGGTCTCCAACTCACGAGAGTCCCAAAGGGCAAAGTGGCAGCGGTGCTCACAAATAGCTTATAATTAAAAAATATGTGGCAGCGATTGTAAACCGGTTTACCTGGACAATGGGAGTCTGGTGAACATATACTAATATATATATATATATATATATACTTATATATAATAATAATAAATTATATACATACATATACATGTAATATATATATTTATATATGGGGTTCTTCTGATTTTTCTTGCATTTGAATCAAAACGAGAATGACATAGGTACACGTTTTAATTATGATTATATTATTAATTATTATATTTTTTAATGAATAAATCTTCTCGCCTTAATAATTTAAATACTTTAACCATTTTTCATAAAATGTTGTTATAACCATACTTATGTTTGTTTTTGTTGTTCATTTGTTTATTATTGTAATAGTACTAATAGATTTGTATCGTTAAAACTTATTAGGTTATTAAAATATTTATTAATTCCTAAAAACTAGTGATCAACTACATTTTATTATTTAATATTCAGGTTTATCGTAATTATTACAAATTGTAGTATAGCGTATTTCTACTATAATATAGTATGTATATTATTCAGGTGGACCTATAACATATATTTCTTWATAAATATTATAGTACATAATAATACACAATCAAAATTGTTTAATGAAAAACTATTTTAACTGTTTGACCTCCATTTCCACTACTATATACATATAGTTAAGCATTTGTGCATATTTTATTTTTTATTAATTTCATAAAAAAWTTTTATAAATGGATATATAATTTAATTATTAACAATACGTACAAAAGCATCAGTCATTAAAMATCTTCTACACGCAAGAATCGACGATAACGTTAATTAATTATAACTACCGAACGCCAAACCATGCGTCGATATAATCGCGGATTAAATAAAAAACGACCAACATGACGTACACTACATATAAATCAAAAATAACGTTTCAATTTGTAACAAGAGTAGTAAGGAGGAGGACGGCAACAGCGACGGCGATATGAATTATAGTCTCTTGGTGGTAAGAGTGTGTGTGTGTGTGTGTGCGTGCGTGTGTGTTAGTGTGTTACTCTATACGGCAGGTCTCATATACCTATGAAGTCATGTTCGTCATCATTACCTTTTTACGGATAGTGATAGTTTAATATTTACTAAAAATTAAATGAAAAAATATTAACTATTATTTAGCCTCTTATGTATAAATATTATATGTATATGTATATATATATATATTCGTATAAATTAGTTATATTATAATGCAGAAAAAAACTAGTCATTCTTGTTATCGTGTTAAATGGTGAAATAAGCTACAAAAATTTATAAATAAATTTAAAATCATCTCAAATTTTAAAACTATTTATTGTACACTTCTTTATTATTACTAATTACTATGTTACTACTACTAGGTAGTACTAGTTACTTACACCTACCTCGATATGTCTATATACTAGTATACTACACTCTACAACTTCTACTATTTCAACTATTATAGGAACTATATAGAACTACTACTATAACTACTACTATTACGTAACTAGTGTTACTACTGGGCGTGATTTATTATAAGTGTAAAAAAAATGTTTAACGACTAATAAATCATTAAATATGTCTTTTTTACAGATGGTGCAAGCAATTCAGGTGTTACGGTTTCATCTATTGGAGTTGGAAAAAGTAAGTATTTAATTAGAATAAATATGAACGTATAACGTACAATAAATTAGAGTAGTTGTAAGTATAATTTATGAGCGTTTAAAAAAATCTAATGTAGTTTGTACATCGTACATATCTATGATTTCAGTAAAAAAAAGACTACAATGAGTTCTATGATAAATATTTTTGAGGTTTTTGCACCGATAATGACGATAGTCAACTATTTTATTATTATTTTTTTTTTATACATACGTGTAACGTATTCACTATACCTATTTATATATATATATATATTATTATAACATAATAATATTACTCGTCTTATATATGACGGTGTGGTCTAACCATGAAATGTGACCGATCTGCAACGGCCGTGGTAACATTACACCATCATACACATGTGTTTCTTATTTTATTTTATTTTATTTTTTTTTGGAAAATTCTTCATAATCCTCCGTAACTAACGGCCCTTCGTCACGTATACATATGTGTGCGTGTGTATGCCTGCCCGCTGTCGCAATATCGTGCGAAATATTATTACGATAACGGTACACGTACTAGTGAATAATAATAATAGAAGATATACGTATTTTTATAATATACTAGTATACGTTTATAAATATAATTTTTTCTGACAGGTTCATGAACTGTGTGACAACTTTTGTCATCGTTATATCAGTTGCTTGAAGGGAAAAATGCCAATTGATCTCGTAATCGACGAACGGGATTCGTCGTCGTCAGCGTCCGCAGCAGCAGCTGGTGGAGGTGGTGGAAAGTCCATGTCTGAACTTGGAGGCTTGGGCGGTCTAGGGGGCGCTACGAACGGCAATAACGACGGACGTAGTAACGCGGATTCAACATCACACACAGACGGGGCGAGTACGCCAGACGTTGTGAGTACATAAATCATTTGATAATAGTATATAATAGGTTTGATATCGGTACTATATATTCGTACCCGTTTTAAGAGAAATAATATGGGTCACCCATGTCGGTACCTACTGCTATTATGTTGCATCGATTACTACAGGCCGCAGTTGATAGTGGGGGATCTTGAATCTATACAGATCTGTTTTTAGGTCTTTTAGTACTAGGTTCATTGATTAAAAATATTAATRCTTACCTAACACATATATTATCTTCTTAGAATTGCTCGTAACAAAACGTTTGCAATGATTATTATGTATTTGAATGCAGCAGATACGTTTATAAATAGTAAAATTGATTTCGCCGCTTTTTTTTTGTTGGTATTGGCGACAATGTTTAACGCGTATTAACACGTATATATAATATATGTAATAATATTATATGCAGCCGTCGCCGACGCGTTCTCCTCGTGTCACTGCACGGTACCTATATGTAGAACCGCCACGTTTTTGTTGTTGGGAGGACCGATGTGTTACTATTACTATATGTAATAACGCATATATAGGGGGACCACCACGCTCACACATGCACACACACACACATACACACACATGTACATGTATAGTCACTGGGTTATAACAAATACAATAATAGGCATATATACTTACACATGCTTGCTGAGGGTGGGTTAGGAGGGTGCAGAGTTGCGCGTGAAACGGAATAATAATAATATAAAAAAAGTTGAGAATTTGCGCGCGTTTGAGAGCATTGTAACACCACCAGTATATATGTATATGTATACACACCGGGTGCGGCCGTGGCTTCTGTATTATATACACACTACGTGTATTATACCGGCCGAGGCCCCCGTCCGCGCCCCCCTTCCACTCGTGTGTATACGTTTTTTTTTTGGGGTGCGAGCGAAAAACTCCTCGTCGTCAGTGGTGGCTCAGGAGATGGGTTTTTACTGCCGCTGCTGGTAATTGGTGTCAATTCGACGGGCGACCATCATTCACACCACCACCACCACCGTCACACCATACATACGCGTATATATCCATCCCCTTCGCGCCCCTTCACCATTCGGCAAACCGACGAGGGTATACTACTGCTTCACTACTACAATAATAGTAATAATGACGACGTCGACAGGGGGAAATCGGTTTTTTTATTATTATTATTATTATTCGKCTTACACACGTGGTACATCATTGTGTTTTCTGTCTGCTGTCTTTCTGGTTCGCAATCGTCAGACTAGTTTACACGGGCATAAAAAAACGCCAGCGTCGTGGGTAGGATCTCAATGTCGTAGGTATTATATTATTATATACGGTGGGCTAACGAAATTGTTATTAAAAAGGGCTAGCATTTTACCGAGGCCTATCGACAGAGAGGGCTCTTGTCTTTTGCAGTATTGATATGAAATCCTAGAATATTTTCGAAAAGACAACAAATTATATTCGCCGCATTGAATTTTAAACAAGTATTATGTTAAATTGAAAAAAAATTGTAAATTATAATATATAATATATATTTTAACAGCTGATTAGAAATATTATATTATTATAATTAATCATAAATTCCATTCCTTCAGAGCTGGTTATAAAGTCGCTGTATATACATGCTTAGATATAATTTCTAAAACCATTTTTTTATCGTATTATTGTATATAATTATCATGCATAACTATTTAACGTTTTCTMGTAGATATTAATATTTTTTTTAGAAAAATTATTCTGGATACTCGTGCTAGTATATAATATATATTTTTATAATTATATCACCAGCTGCATGATATTATACCATAGTGATGTGTTTGATGTGTGTACCAGTGCTATATACACATAATTTTGCGCGCCTTGAGTATGAACCTACTCGCGTATGACTATAGTTAGTTTTTAGACAAAGACACACGGAACGCTATTTATATATTCATCCGTCGTACATGTGCGCGGGGTGGCGGCAGCGGCGGCGGGACATGGCTATTTGGGTTTTTGAACCGCCAAATGAACGAACAGTACCCATAGACACTACTGACTAGAGAGGAGATATTTCCGTGAAACCGAATGCCAACGAACGCTCCATACTAACGCTACGCGTGCTCGTGTATTCCGAGATGAGCCACAATGTGACATCGTATATTTTCATCTCGCATTAATGTACAGATAAATCAGCGGCCCACCACCGTATATATTATATAATATATCTTATAATGCACATAAAATGTATAAGTGTGTGTGTGTGTGTGTATACACGATGATAAACACGTACGCGKGTTATCGCGATCATCACGGTTTATTCAAGTAGTGTCTGTTACAGCACTTGACTAGGAGGCGGTTTGTTGACGAAACGCGTCCGTTCAAGTATCAACGACGATGATGCTATAACGAAGTAATGAATTCGACTGTATAGGTTTATTTTTTACTTGCTAGAATTATTGTCGACGACCGACGTCGTCCAGACGCATAAACGTTKGAACTTTTATAAGTTTTAACCGATTGCTTAAACCCGCCTTGGTGTCATAATATACAGCAAGTTTCAGTGGACCGTTAAAGAGTCTCGTTATCGAATCCAATTTTTGTCATCGTATAATATATTACATAGCGTACGGTAATTTTAGATTTGATTTAATAAAAACGTGTGGGACATTCAGTTATTGACGGTTGCTGTACGTTTCATACTATTGCGRTGGAAACGAGTCGCGCGGTTAACCAACGCGTTTTGAAGTATTTWTAACTTAAAGGTAATGGCATGGAATTGTGTAATATGATAATCTTCGTGCCCCAACTTTGGACAAATGAATCTCTCGTAGGGTGGTTGATATATTGSTGTAATTTCGTTATATGYGCGCCCTACTCAACGTGTGTCATTTTTTTCATTTGAGTGACTGCTCGCTCTCGGCGCTTTTATTCGTCGTTGTCAGTGAATTATTTCATTATATCGCCATCACCACTAAATATAATTCTATTATTTCAATTATTTCAATTACTTTGACATCGCTGTCCCGAAAATGATTTTTTAAGAAAAGCAGTTTAAGTGGAAAAAATAAAGTAATATCGTTATGTACTAATATAATACTATGCATACTTACTTAATACTGCATCCAAAGTTTCAAATGAAATTAATTTATAATACAACTAAAACAATTTCAATTGCGATTACATTTTATTTCGTGCCATTTTTTTTTTGCTCTGAACAATTAATTAACATAGCTATCTAATTATCAATAAAAAAAATGAAACAAAATTACTTTTTGGTTAAAATTTTAAACAAACACTAAAAATCTATTATTTAACTTGTTATACCTATAATTATTGTACAACGTAATTGCTATAGGTCGGTGTAAACTCGCTTATAAAACGTGGAGCATACATTCGTGCTGAAATATTAATTACACTACGCGTATTTTTGGCGCGATAAAACGTTCTTATTTCTGGGTGATAATAATACCTWACAATAAAAATAAAATACCTACTATATATGATACTAATGATATACAGTTTCAAAATACTCTAGTGTAATTTAATGCGGTGACGAACGTTGTCTGCAGTGTTACTATACGTAATTAGATAATGTACAGCAAACGGGGCCTATGACGGGGAGGTATGGTGAAATAATAATAATAAATGCACACATCTATCCACCCCGATACACACACACATAATAGGATTTGTAGCCAGACGGTGGTGTTTTTCACTTTGCTCAATTGCTCGTCGTGCCGCCGCCGCTATAGATGTTGTCAATAGTTAATGATAAAAGGGAGCGCGACGCTTAACGTATATTTCCCCCCGCGCGTAATTAGACGTGTATATCGCGTATGTATCGTTGTGTTTCTCTCTGGCCACCATCAAATCCAACCCTGCCCACACGTCCCGACATGATGGACTGCAGGAGGCACACAAGCTGCAGCACGATCGTCGTCCGGCTAGCCAGCCAGTTAGTACGCCAACCAGCCCACCTACATGACACACGCACACTACATACCACATGCACTGTCGCCGCCGCTGTAATCCGATTAGGTTAATCGCCATTGCCGGTCGATTAACCTAAAGTAAACTGAATGTGCTTGACGTGGACAACTAGGGTTTCGCTGCTCGTCGTGCTTTCATGATACTATTCCTTAATAATATGTCACGGTTATACCTGTATACCGGTAGTGGCGTCGAGTCTGTTCATAAAAATAATTTTATTCTAACTTAAGTTAATATTTACTTTTATTTTAAGTCCCATAATGTAATGCTGAAATATTAATGTATTTAATTTTTCTTTTTGATAGAATTTAGTGCAATATCAATACTTAAGTGTAGTATGAATATGTATATATAATATGTATATATTATTTCATACACCAATATTATAAATCATCAAATTATTTGAAAATTACTTAAACCGAATAGTGCTATTAAGTTTGTTTTTAATATTATGTATTATTTATGAAACGTGGTAATATTGATATATTTATACTTATAAAATGTATACTAAAAGTATTAATTTAAATATAGATAATATATACTTTTATTCACACACAATCTATAAAATACGTGCATATTATATATGTAGTTCAAATKATGCACCATATTCAAGTATGTACTTACTCGAAACCACTTTAATTTATCAGTCAATTTTTAGTTTTTATGAAAACCACTTCATCGCCGTTCGTTTTTCTATTTTAGTTATTTACCCATTACAATTAAATTATTCAGATCTGTGTCGTGTTTTCGTTTCATAATTTTATATATCCGTAGTAGGTACAACGACACTAAAATGTCGSCCAAATTCTAATTTTAATTCAGATAATAAGTTATGTGTATTTTTTTGTCTTTAGTTTGAACACGCATACACTTTGTGAGTTCAATGTTAGAAATGAAAACATCAGTAAGTAATATGTAGGAAACATATGTGGTTAACTGCAGCAGCCCTTGAGACGTATACTGATGCAATCGTCGTCGTGTGAAAATATATTATGTGAAAAATATATTTAACACGCGCATACGGTTTTAGGCCCCCAATAGTTAGTGAAAAGGGT